ACCTCACCCCCTTCCCCCCACCCCGCCCCGCTGAGCCCTAGGGGACAAGGCATGGGAGGATGGGGGTCAGCACGGGGAGAGAGCCCTGGGAGGGCACCGCCGCCACAGCCGCGTTTGGAACCAGCCCCTGGCAGGTGGCATGAAACAAGGTCCCTTCCTTTTCTGCAGCCACACACCCCCTGCCATGTGTTTTGGAGGGCCAGGTGACTTCTGGTGGCTCCTGACTATGTGGAGGTACTCAGGGTGCGGAGGGGGAACCAGGAGATCACCCTCCCACACCCACTCAAGACACAGGCTTACTGGCTCAGTGTCCCCCATTCTGTCCCCTTATCCCATGCTCCTATCCCTGAACCCCATTGGCAGCAAGGGGTTAATGGAGGTGAACAGGTTATAGAGAAGGTTTCTTTCCCCATCCTCCCCGCGAACTCTTTGTCCTTACCCCCATCCTCTGTCAGGGGACAGGAAGCGGGGACAGAGACAGCTGATGTTCTCAGTAACCCCTGAGACTTTCTCTGTGTCCCTGAGCTTTAAACGCTAGCCGGACTGGCACCCTTCACTGTCCTCCTCCTGTGCTGAGCCCCACTGCTCTCTCTGCGGTGGCCCTGGGCGCGGGAGCGGCCTGCCCTGGAGAGTGGCAGGTTGGTCTTAGGAATTCTCCAGCTTCCCAGCGGGCTGCTGAGCAGCACTTTGAAGAGGTCGGCTGGGCCATTTCCCACCACCGGTCCTCACCCCACAGTGGGAGGGGGCGGGGCTGGGGTAGAGGTGCTGGCCAAATCCACTGACTCCAACCACACGGCCTTGCGGGGCTGCCACCCCACCCATCGCCCCCAATGGCTTCCTTAGGCGATGATGATGGATGAACGGGCCTTGGAGAGGGCTGGGCAGGCCCCGGGGGGCGGGGGGAGCTGGTCCTGGCAGGTGTTGAGGAAGGAGCATAACACTCCTCCCTCTCTGGACTCTCAAGGGCTCTGCCCACTGGTCCATGCAGGTAAGTGACTCAGGATGTCTCAGCAGGGTGTCCAGGCTGGAATCACGGTGGGGGTTAGGTTGTGTGAGGCTCATTCACTTATTCAGTCTTTAAGCTGATATTAACACGACACCTATTGTGTGCTGGGCACCATGTACGCGCTGGGCATCCAGCACCGACAAGCCCTGCACAGCACCTGCCCTCATGAGGGCTGCAGCCTGGCCAGAGTCGAAAGGTGGTTTTGAGAGTGAAGAGTGTTTCCAGTTCTTTCGGTGTAACGGGCTCTCAGTGTGTCTCCAGAACCCAAAGGCTCTGGGCAGTCGCCTAGTGCTCCCCATCACTCGGCTTTTCCATGCCAGGCACTGAGGGACCTGCCTGTAAGCCGCAGACCCGCTGAGCACAGTTCAGAGGCCGGGGAAGAAGGGAAACTGCCAAGGTCACTTAGGACCTGCCAAGGTCACTCAAGGCAGTGTGAGGACTGGGGCCCAGGTCCTCTGACAGGATGTGAGGACCATCGACCATCATCCCAGAGACGCTGAGTGGCTGAACCCCTGAGTGGAGGCCCCTCACCCCTCTAATTGTCACTGAGTGCTCCATTTACCAGGTACTGGTTGGGACCTTTTAGGCACAACCATTAAGGGGTACATACTATCACTGTCCCCATTTTACAAATGGGGACACTAAATAGAGGGGAGTTGAGTGACTTGCCCAGGGGCCCGCAGATAAGAAATACCAGGGACAGGATTTGAACCCCATCAGGCCGACTTCAGAGCCTGGGCTCTTAGCCTCTGCACCACACGGCCAGCCCTCAGCCCCGGCTCCTGTCCTGCCCCTCTCCGGCTACGGGTTTCCATGGGCTTCTGGGCCCCAAGAGGCCGGTCTGCACACCTGCACGAAATCGCTAATAACAGGCCCCCCTTGCTCCAAGCGCTTCCCTGTGCCAGGTACACAGCCTGAAGCTAGACCAGGAATTGGAGCCTCATGCTGATGCCTGCACCCAGCTGGGGTCACCCCTGCCAAACCTTAAACCCCAGGTACACACCACACCTAGGAGAGCTGCCCGCTCCCAGCCTCCGGCAGCAGTGAGCTTCTCCGTGCCAGGCCTGAGAGGTCAGGAGTGCAGACGCCGGGTC